ATGACTGTGCCGCCTACCTCCTTTTAGCAAATACGGAATAGTATAAATAAGATGAATTTTGACGTGTTTTTGAGAGAAATCTTATAAGAGAGTAGAAGTGATCATGATCATCACAAATGAGCAGAATATGCAAAGACTAGCGAAATACCTCATTTTTGACCATGAAGACTACTTCTCCCGGTGGGCAACCGTCGGATGGAGTAAGATTTACTGCTCCTCTGAAAGATAGATGAATCAATGATGAGCAAAACACGCGTTTTCCTCACTTGCAGCAGTATCCAGAAATCCCATCAAATTGAGCCATACACGTGAAACCAGCCGGACATGTGACAAAATGCCCAATGGAGCATGCTCGTGGCATTCCAGAAGATTCATCCACAAAGTACTCTTCCTTGTTAGGACAGATATCTGAGAGATTTATAAGCTGCACATCACAAATTTAAACTTTTTTTGAAGTTATACCTGATACTGAGCAGCAGTAACCCTGTAGGGCATCTTTCACATCGCTTTGACATTCAAACCCATCGGGACACGAGGAGACGCGGGCATTCATTGTGCAGCGCATTGCACGTGTACTCATTTGGTCCTTGTAAGGAGCGCGACCAGGCAGACAGTAACCTAAAATAAGTAGACTGAGATCAGCACATAGCGAAGATGTAGTAACATACTACTCTTCGTAGATCCACAACAGTAATAGCGATTTTTCGGAGCGTTGAAACGACAGAGGTAGTTGGAGGGGCAGGAATTCGGCTCGTTGATGAGACATTCGCGGACTGACATATCCATAGCGTTGATATAGGCCTAGGACAACTAGCTCTTGCTAGAGAAATGATGTAAGTATAGTATGCAACTCCACCTTCTCTCCCTCAGGGCATACTCCCATATCGGTCGCTCCACAACACACACTGGAGTCGGTAAGGCTGTCGAACACGCACTTAACCGTAGGTATACAAGATATCCCGAATATTGTAAAGACTGTTTGGCGCTTAATAACTTTTTTATCCTGATCTTTCCTAAGAATAACTTTTCTATTTTGATCTTTCCTGGGTCTTAATGAGTAGGTAAAAGGCTAGCCTAAACTTAAAAGTTTACTTATAAACTGATCTTGAACCTTTAGCGTTTGTTAAGGCTATGTTGCAAAGCCCAGGTGGCTTTAACGCGAACGTTAACCACTTACCATTACCATTGAATCTTGCAATATTTATGGTTAATTTTTAGAATTATCCTTAGCTTAACTGTATCACGCTGGCGCTAACGCTTCGTAGGTTATCTTAACCCAATCTAGGGAGATACAAAATTGTTTTTAGACGCAAATCTAAACTCGTATCCCCTTTCATTTATTTGAGTAAGATGTTATAAAAAAA